AGAAATAAATAAAAAACATTAAAAAAAAAAAAAAAGCAAACACTGAAAGATAAAAACTAATATGTTGTGTGATTGTTGCCATTCGACAATTTATTTAAAACCTCCTAGGTCGACAAGAATGGCTTCTCCTAATACTTTGTCCCACATGAAAATCTTTGTAGGCAGAATAATTTCAGTGTACCTGTGGAAAGTGTGCTGCATGGTAATGGACTATGGGGTTGTTCTGATACTGGAAGAATTGGTAAAGGGAAATATTTTTGTAGAGTTTCAGTTCACACCTTTAGCTTCTTAGATGATCTGTGCTCTAACTTACTCATTTTTGAATTGTATCAGAGAAAGTGACTTTGTGTGTGTATATATGTCCTATAAAGTCAGTGAAGGCGCATCAGCGGTGAGCGTGATCCCCAGACAAATATTGTAAGGGGCAAAATTAGCTGTGTCACGTGGTGTAGGTTTTCATTCTCTATTTGCATTTTTCTTTTTCAGGCTCTATCAAAGAAAGCGAGAGACGGAAAACTGTTACCCGAAGAATACCAAGGTGGATCTTTTAGGTAAAATTTAAACTCTGAATTACTGGTAGTATCAAACAGACAACCAGACCTGCACGTCTGTGTCAGCCCTTTTCATCTATTTTCTGAAACACTTCTTTTTACTTTAAGCACAATATTGAGGCTGGTAGGAGCCTTCTAGTGTTAGCTAGTTAATCTGTTCATGTACTCTCAGAATGACATGCAGGTTCTGAAACTTAAAAAATATGTATTTATAGGGACGCCTGGGTGGCTCAGTTGGTTAAGCGTCCAACTTTGGCCCAGATTATGATCTCACGGTTAGTGGGTTCAAGCCCCGTGTTGGTCTCTGTGCTGACAGCTCAGAGCCTGGAGCCTGCTTTAGATTCTGTGTCTCTTTCTCTCTCTCTGCCCCTCCCCGACTCGTGCTTTGTCTCTCTGTCCCTCAAAAATAATTAAACATTAAAAAAAAATACATATTTATAAATACATTTATAAACTTAAGCCTTTTTTTGTTTGTTTTCTATTTGTGATCTCTTATTTTAAGATATTTCAGGGGAAAATATTAACATTTCCATCCTTTAGATATTATCAGTGATCTTAAGTGTCACTTTCATACAGTGTAGTATACTGAGTATAGTGTGAATGTTTCAAAAATAGAAGAACACAGGTCTCAGTGTAACCAGTCAAAGCAAGTTTTAGACCATGACCAGCATCCCAGAAGCTTCCATTTACCCTTTCCTGATTATCCCCCTGGCAAAGGTAACCACCATTCTGAAAATTATCACCATAGATTTGTTTTGCTACCTTTGGTCTTTATGTAAATAATATATATTCATTAGTTTCTGACTTCTTTTACTCATCATTAATGCCTGTGAGATTACCGTGTTGCAATGTGAAGTAGTTATTTATTTGTTTTTGCAGTGTGTAGTATTTTGTAACGTATAAATACGCCAGTATCTGCTTTTACTCTTGGGCATATGTTGTTGTTTACAGTTTGGTGCTGTTACCAATAATGGTGCCGGGAACATTCTCATCAGTGCCTTATGGTGAATATATTTGTTATATAGACCTGGGAGTGGAACTCCTAAATTAAAAGCTTTAATGGATACTGCCAGTTTTCCAAAACAGTTATACAAATTTATACTTCCAGGAACAGTGTATGAGAATTCTCATTGCTTCATATTCTCACCAGCACTTTGTAATGTTAGGTTTTAAATTGTAACAGTTCTTGAGGTATATAGTGGTTCTCTTTGGGGTCAGGCAAATTATTGCTGTTGAATACTATTTTCATTTCCCTCTCAGCCTTTTGGGTATCTGGTAACTTATCAGATAAAGTACCTGTTGATATCTTATGTCCATTTTTAAAAATGATATGTGGAAGGCTCTTAGTTACAGATACACAGACCTTTGTAGGATACATATTATTTCAAATATTCTTTCCCTCTCTGTCCCTTGCCTTTGGAACTTTCTTCACAGTATTTTTAATGAACAGAAGTTGTGAATTTTAATGAAGTTCTATTTGTTAGTTTTTTGGGTTTGGGGTTTTTTGTTTGTTTTTGTTTGTTTTACAGCTTGTAGTATTTATTTTCTGTTTGGAATTACCATCCCAAAATTATGAAGTTATTTTTCTATGTTACTTTCTAGAAGTTTTACAACTTTTCATATGTAGATCCCAATCCATTTAAAATTGGATTTTTTATATGGTGTGAAGATAAAGGTAAAGATTCTTTTTTTTCTTCCCTCAAATGGATATTAATTACACTGACCTAGCATCCCTTATTCAAGAGCTGACTCCTCTGTAGCTCTGAGAAAATGACCATGTATGTGTTTGGTCTGTTCTGTGTTGTCCCTTCAAATGGCCTGAGTGTTCATCCCTTGCTCGGTACCACCAAGCTATAGAACCTTTGATACTTGGTAAGGGAAGTCTTTAATATTGTTCACCCTCAAGATTGTCTTTCTTGGCTCTTTATATTTCCAAATAAACTTCAGAATCAGCTTATCACTTTTCATATACATACACATACATACAAACCTTGCTGGGATTTTGGTTGGGATTGCATTAAATCTTTTGATCAGTTTGAGAAGAGTTGATATCTTTCCAGCATTGAATCTTCCAGGCAGTGAACATGGTATAAACCACTGTGTATTCAGTTCTTTGGTTTCTTTCAGTTCTGTTTTATAATCCTATAGAGAGAGGTCTTAGTAGATGTATTTCTTAATATCTGTTTCTTGCTACTATTGTAAATGGTATTAAATTTCATTTTTTTAAATTTTCTTTTTTTAATGTTTATTTATTTTTGGAGAGAGAGAGAAGGACAGAGAGAGAGATGGAGACACAGAATCTGAAACAGGCTCCAGGCTCTGAGCTGTCAGCACAGAGCCCAATGAGGGGTTCGAACCCACAGAAGGACCATGAGATCATGACCTGAGCTGAAGTCGGACACCTAACCGACTGAGCCACCCAGATGCCCCTTAAATTTCATTTTTAACTACAGCAACCTGTATATAGATATAAAACTAATTTTTACATTGGCCTTTTTATCTGGTGGCTTAGCTAAATTCACTTATGTATTCTACTATTTTATCAGTAGTCTTAGATTTTCTATGTACATAGTCAATTCATCTGTGAATAATGACTGTTTTCTTTTTTTTTTTTAAGTTTATTTTCAGAGAGAGTGTGTAAGCAAGTGAGGGGCAGAGAGAGAGGGGAGAGAGAGAATCTCAAGCAGGCTCTGCGCTGCCAGCACAGAGCCCAGTGTGGGGCTCGATCCCACAAACCATGAGATCATGACCTAAGCTAAAGCCAAGAGTCAGACACTTAACTGACTGAGCCACCTAGGCACCCCATGACCATTTTATTTCTTTTTTCTAGTCCTTCTTATACCTCGTCATTTCTTTTTCTTGTCGTATTCCACTGCCAAGGATTTCCAATTCAATGCTGAATGAATGTTGTATTTATTAGACATACGATATATGTGTGTCGATATTTGTTTTTTGATACTGTTGTAAATGATATGTTTGTCTTTGTCTTTGGTCTTTGAGTAACTTGGCATAAGGTTCTGTATCAGTTTTTTAGTAAAGGAAAATCATAGGCTTCAGGAAAGTGTTCTTTGACTAAGGACATGCCACCTTCAGAGTTTTTTCTTTTCCCCTAGTATTTCCAACTTAGGCATGTTTGGCATCGACGAATTCACTGCAGTGATCAACCCTCCTCAGGCCTGCATTCTGGCTGTTGGGAGGTTCCGACCTGTGCTCAAGCTAACGCAGGACGAAGAAGGGAACGACAGGCTGCAGCAGCACCAGCTCATAACGGTCACCATGTCAAGTGACAGCCGAGTCGTGGACGATGAACTGGCTACCAGGTTTCTTGAAACTTTTAAAGCAAACCTAGAGAACCCTATCCGACTGGCCTAGTTCTCTAAGATAAGAAGTTGGTCTTTGGCTTAGTTAATTGGGTAGCTGTTACTAGAACCTACACTATACGAAAACAATTAGGTTTATGAGCGTGAAGTGGATGAGTTGTTTATTTAAGGTGAACGAGTTTGGCCCGAGTTGTCTTCGTTTTCAGTTTGGGTTTGATGTTATAGAAATAAATAGCAAACTGTAACTAGTAAAAGAAAGAGAACACTTGGTTAGATTTATTTTTAACCTTTGGTGCTGTCCTAAAGTGAAATGTAAATTAAATTGTTTGGCTCATGTGAGCATTTTAGACTATTTGAGAATATATAATAAGTTGTAAAATGGAAGAATTGTTAGAACTAATTATGTTAAAATTAGAACTCATCTTCAAAGAGAAGCCCTTTAATTTAAGCAGTGGGACCTCACTTTTTATAAGCACTGCTTTAGATATACTTGAACAATTTAATATGTACAGAAGTTTATTCTGGATAATAGTGAGTAACTAAGGATCACATTGTATTAGGGGTTGTGGCAACATTATTGAATTTTTTATGTACATAAAGCCATAGGTTTTAGAGTGGTTTCTATCAGTCTTATTTTTCACTTCTATGACACTGTGAACTTCTAAAGAGGAAGAATTAAAAAGTCAAAAATAAGAGAGAGAGACCAAAACGTATGTTTCAGTAATAAACTAGTTAAAATATCTAAACTTTCTGAAATAAACTGTTCACCTTCATATTAAGTTGGAATATATTAAAATAAATTATGCTATTTCCTACCAAACATTTTAAACTAGTGTTAATTTAAACACAAAATGTTGTTTTTTAGTGCATTTTAATCAAGTTTGTGTTGTGCAATAAAATGTGAGAAAATATAAAAACTTCTTTATTTTTTAAATGTTAGGACACAACAGTTTAGCAAATCCCTGAAGTTGGACAGTAATTTAGCTGGAACAGCTTATAAGGAATTCTACAGGAGGAAAGAAAGAATTTAAACTTGATCCAACCTTAGGAAAACAACGGATATGGAATGTAAAACTTTGAAAGAGAGTAGAAGGGAAATCTTACGAGGTAGGCAGGAACTCTTCTTTTTACTCCATCAATAGTAAGAACTTTTTACTAAATATTGTAAAAGTTAGAAGAGCTTATTTCTCTTTTAACAACTGTACTACGATCAGCATGTTAACTGTCCTGAGATTGAGTGCTCATTTAAATACCCAGTCACTGAAAGGCTTGCGTTAGCATCTGCTGCCGGGAGTCACTAGAAGACACACCACATGGCATGACAGCTCACTACTTATGCTCCAGCCAAAAAGCTTCTAAAACCATTGGAGCCCCAGTGTATCAGTTGTTAAGGATGTGCTTAATCCAATTGCTCAGTTTTAACAAGCTGTTTTTTTTCAAAGTAGTCTTAAAAACCTTTGTCATATTAACAGTTACACTAAAAATTGTCACCAAATGCTTTTTTCAAAACAACTTTCATACGTTATGTTACTTTCAGTTTTCACTGGACTTATCTGGCTTTTTCCTAATTTTTATATCTGAGGACTAGAACTTGAGACGACCATAAATAAGCGTTGGCTTGGAGCTCTGTTTCCACATAGCGACAGGCATACGCGGTAATGCATCTGCTTCCCCGGCAGGGAGATGGGTGCTCTTAGCCCCCCACTGCCTGCCTTAGAAAGTCGTGAACCACACGGCAGAAATGCCGTGTACATTTGAGACATTGTGATTTTTCACGGGTTCACCTCTCAACTTTTGGTACAAATTCATTCTGACTGGAAGCATTTTCTCTAGTATTCACACTGATTATGGAAGGAAATTGGCCATAACACTGATGTGAGGAAGAAGTACTATAAACATGGTAACGTGGTTTGGGTTATTCTGGAGGATGTGCTTTATGCTACATGGCCAGGCTCCCTCCTCCCGTTTTTATGTGTACATATATACATGTTTGTTTCTTTTTATATGTATTATTTATATATACTTTATTGTATGTATAAAATAGATATTCATTTGTAGTACTGATAGGTGTCACACTGAGAAGTTATAAAAATTAAATTTTATATCTGGTCATCTTTTTTCTCATTTGAACAGGGAAAATGAGTAAAATGTTGGGAAGACTTCTAAGGAAAAGGCAACACACATTTCAGTTAACACTTGGGCATGAAAATAAATACCAACGAATGTTAGAATTTATAAATCAAATGGCCCTGCTTCTCCAATTGCAATTCATAGGTTACATTTACAGAGTTTGTTCACTGTTTTGTGGCGACAATATATTGCTGGCCCAACTCCTTTGTTGGAAACATTACTAAGAGACTTATATGTACTAGTACAGCTATCTTATATATAGTGTCCAGTGAACTTTAATTTTTAAATTTTTTAAATTTTTTGCATTTTGGATTTAACTTCACACTAAACTGTAGAGGCCAGCCATTCAGGCATTATGTTAAAATAAACCTAGTTTTCTAACCTTTTAACTGAAAGATAGGTGGTGCTGTGAGTTAATGGATTATAGTTAGAGTGTGGGGGAAAAAAAGTAAAATGGCATTTAAATCTTCACATTCAAGGGAACTGTATCCTCATTACACATTGCATTATGATGGACTTTGTCTCAGGTGACATGAAAAGTAAAAGAACCAAGTATGTTGCAGGTAAGAATTAACTGTTAATTTAAATTTGGTCTTCTTCATGAGAAACTTCTGTTAAGTTTCTTCTGTTTTTCAGACACCAGAAGTAACAGTGCAGAATTTCTGTAAGGTTAGGCTGGCCATAATATACAAGGCAGGTCAAAACAGGGAGAGGACAGCAGTCAGTCAGAACCATCTGGAAGCTGTTGCATTAATGAAAGTGTGCATTAACCAGACTCTACACTAGGTCAGGGGACTTTAATGTCTATTTGCTGAGGTCTGTTATAAATATTGAGAGTGGGTGTGTGCTGTCAGGTGATGCAATAATGTAATTTCCCGGTCCAAAACACAGTCCTTCATGGCCCACATCTCCAGTATCCAAACGATTAAGTTATGTACAGCAAATGGTATATTTCAGAAGACATTTAACTTTCTGCAAACGGAGAGAGCAGCAGTCTTCCAATAAAATAATTTTAAATAGTTTTGTCAACCTCTAAAGTTTACGTTCTCGTTTCCATTGGTTGCAGCAGATGGGGACAGGTGCTGGGTTGGAGGAAAGGTGTGGTTTGTCTAGACTTGTAATATTGAATGAAATTATAAAGATGTGTTTTGAAAAGTGATTAGCCTCTTAGTACTAGTCTTTTGTTTTTTTCATATATGAAAAGCTTACTTTCACATTTTATCATTCATCTGTATTTTTTGCAACAAGTTCAAGCAGCCTTTTCTTCCTAGGAAAGTGGATACTTTTAAACCTCTAACTCAACCTCTACTACACATGATATATACAATAAAAGGAAACGTGGGCTTTTATTAAAAGTTGAGAAATTATTCACAAAATCATTAATTAGTCATGATTTGCCTTTATTCATACCAAAAATAATTTGTTTTCTGAAATTCCTTCATTTATGAAATCCTTTATTACCCCATCACTTAAAAATAGATCTCTTTTGAGGCTGTTGAGATCAAATGAGACATTATATTAGTCATAGCACTTTATGAAGCATAAAGTATTCTATACATGTAAGTTGTCGAAATGTTAATCATGTAAATTGCACTCATTCTACTTCTTTCCAGTGGCTCCCCAACAGCCTGTTGGGTAAAGAATGGCATTTGTCAGGGAACTGCAGGAGAGCACTCGGTAAGTCACTGTCCTTCACAGCAGAACTGCTCTTCAGCACATACTTTGCACCCCAAGTATTAAATCAAGAGTATTTTAGCCTGGGTTCAGCTTTATCTATAAATTATTGTGCTCTTGGCAAACACTCTATTTTCCTGTGCCTCAGTACTCTTACCTATAAAAACATGAGGAAACAGGAGGGAAAATGAACCAGTGGTGGTGGTGGTTGCTAGTCCTGTTTAATCTTCTCAATTCTGTAAGGCGGGTAGAGCCTACTTTACCACCATCACACAAACTCAAGAGATTATGTAATTTGGCCAGAGGCATATGGCTCACGTACCACAACTGGGATTTGAACCCGGACCCGTGCAGCACCCAAATTCAAGCTCACCACAGTGCAAGTTGTACTGGTACTGAGATAGTTGGGTATTAATACACAGCACCTTCCACTTGGAATAACTGAAGGTCTTATTTCTCAGTAGTTACACTGATATGTTTGCTACATGGCCACTCTTTAGTCATTTCATGTTTCTTCTGTAGTAGTTCTCTTTGTGTCTTTCTGGTTGGTAATTGTATGCAGAAAGTGCTGAGGGATATTTGTTTTCATTATGGACATTTCCCGTTAACTGGAAATGCTGAAGTTAAGTATTATATAGCTCCTCCCTCTGAATGGAAGGCTTAGAAAAATATCAACTTAAGAAACTAGGGGCTTAGTTTCTCTAAGGATAAAAACATGATATATTTCACATTTAATAAATACCTGGGAATCTGGTCCAAGTTCAGAAGTAAAAGTAGTTACTCCCAATTTTTCCTCTCCAGGCTCCAGACTTCTGTGTGGACAACCAGTATCAGTCAAGGTCTGGTCTTGTGTATTGACCTTATTAGTCAGGGACCATTGATTGTGGTTCACCGTCTGGCAGAGTTCATTGAGTTGTCAAGGCCAGATCTGTCCACGTTCACCAGGGGAAACAGGAAGCAGCTCTCCAGGACACGGGTGAGCCTCAGCCACTGGGCTGGCACACTGAAAGGGCTCAGGGTGCCACGGTGGATGGGAGGCTTGGAGCACACAGTATCTACATTGAGAGGGCCATCGGGACTTAATGTTAGGAGGGCCATTCTGGACATATGGCAGGAAAAAAGACACCTACTTGTTCCCTCATGCGCCTTCTGAGAAAGCTTAACATCATTTTGCTGTAAAAGGAAAATGCTTAAGAGAATTGCATTCATTACTTTACAACAGGCATTAAAGGGTAAATTTGAAATTGAGAGACAGTAAATCAATAACTGGTATAATAAGCCCAACCATGAAGGCTGGGAAGTAAAGTATGATGTCATTATTTGGAATAACACCAAATCATAAGACATCTTAGGAAGGCATAGCAGTCTGCATTAGACCTGCTTTGTGGGTAAAAACCTATCTAGGCTACAGGTAGTACTGAAAATATCGTCACTTCATCTCAAGTGATTCCCCTTATTTCCTAGATGGGACATTCATTCAAGTCTGAAACAAAAATAAAATGTGAAATACAGTATTCATTCAACAGTGGTGAGCATCTCCTGTGCATCACTACTGAGGATTCATAGCTAATGGCTTTGCCCTCAATCAGCTCAACCTCCAGATAAGTGATACACAATTCATTAAGTTCTACAAAGTTCGTGCCCAGGGCCTGGGTCAAGAGGCAGGCTTCCTGCAGGATGTAACATTTGAAGCAGGTTTTTACCAATTTTAACCAACTCCCTTTTGTTTCTGGCTTCTCTAATTTCATTAGCCAAAATATTTAGCACCTTATACACACCTAATGTACAAGTATCAGCACCCCATCGTGTTTAACCTCAACTCAATACCTGCGCATACCACAGGTAACTTTAACTCCAACAGTGCTTAGAAACAGAGTTGGAAGGAAAGGTACTCAGTGGGCAGTTGTGTGGGCGGAGAGAGCTTTACACCTATTACCTACAAGAAAATGTTCTTGCCAAGGTCATTACGCCTAAGGAAATTCAGATTTGTTTAGGAATAAGCGCTCGTGCCCTGTTTAATTGAAATAGATTTTAATATTACCTCTATTCCCTTACCTCTTTCTTAGCCTCTGCTGTTTTGAAGACGTTTTGTGTGTGCAAATGCGTTCTGTTTATGGAGTAAGTCATGTGCCAGGACAGATATTTCTTTAGGTATCTTCACGCCCATAGTTTCACATCTCGAGGGACCATCTGTTAAATTTATTTTCAGAGAATCATGATCATCTTTGGGCTCCCCAGCTAACTAAACAAAACTATAGGAGCAAGTGAAAATCGTGTTCTATTTTTTAGCATTCCGTATCTTTAATGCTAAATATCAAATTAGTAGTTTCGGAGACCAGCTTTGTTCACCCACTAGCACCACGCAGCCCTTCGGGTTAACTTGATTTCATTACTCAATACATTATGCAGTCTGTGAGCATTTCATTTTGACACCAAATCATCTGTTCTTTATTGATAAATTAATAACTATTTTATCTCAACTTGTTAATTAAATCTAATCAGAATGCAAGTTTCCAGCTATTCTCTTTAATGCTTTGATGCAACTTCAGAAGAATAGAAGTATAGGCTAAATTTTATAGATTATCTGTTCCTGAAAGTAGACTCTAATCCTCGATCTAAAAATTTCAGGTTGGGCCCTTTTTTCAGAAGCCAGTTACTCCTTTGAGCTGAGAGTACATGAGCCTGAGAATTGGGTAAAATGGAAGCTCCATAGTCATAGGGGGATAGGCTTTTATCTGTGTTTCCTCATTTCCTAAAGGAGTTGTCCCAACGTTGGGAAATAATTGGAAGGAATACTTCCTAAAATGTTGTTGGAGCTATTCTGTGCCTAGATTTCAAGGACATACTGATCAAGTAAGAATGTTACCATTTGTCAAGACTAACCCATAAACAGGGGTGCCTGGGTGGCTTAGTCGGTTAAGCGTCCGACTTTTGCTTAGGTCATAATCTCACGGTTCGTGGGTTCGAGCCCTGCGTCGGGCTCTGTGCTGACTGCCAGCTCAGAGCCTGGAGCCTGTTTCAGAGTCTGTGATTCCCTCTTTCTCTGACCCTCCCCTGCTCACGCTGTCTCTCTCTCTCTCTCTCTCTCTCTCCTAGAAATAAATAAAATATTAAAAAAATTAAAAAAAAAAAAGACTAACCCATAAACTATGCTTTCCATAAGATGAGTTCTGTGGCCAGTTTCCCTGTATGGTGGGTAGATAGATAGGTGAACGTTTTCGGCTGGTAGCAGGGCCCTCTCTTATTTGAAGGTCCAAGTCTTTCTGTCTATTTATGCTTGCAGTGCCTTATAGTGGAC